GCTGTGTGAGACACTTTTTATTAAGGATGGGCGCTTTTTATTTCACTTTTGGACTGAAGCACTGCAACACCTGCTGACTGCCATTAAACAGCTTGAAAGATCAAAGACAATTTTTATTATAACTCCGATTGGATTCATCTGAAAGAAGAAAGTCATATACACCTAGGATGCCTTGAGGGTGAGTACTTCATGGGCTAATTTTCATTTTTGGGTGAACTAACCCTTTAACCTCATTTTACTTACTAATGTGACATATTTCTGAGTCCATTAGTACATTCAACTAGAAAAAAAAAGAAATAAATGTTGGGATGTACTTGATTTTATTATTCTGCAGTTGGCTCGATGGAAAAAAGTGACTGTTGCATACCAGTTATGTGTGAGTTTGCTGAAACAATGATATTCGGCTATTGGCTAACATTTGTGTTATTCACTCATAAAGGATTTCTTCAAGGTTTAATCGTTCCCTTGGGTCCTTAAAGACATTTTGATCAAATTTAACGGTATAAAAAGATTTTACATTTCTTTTTGTGCCTAGTTTTAAACGCATTATTATCGTATCTGCAAAGTGCAATATTGTTTGACCTCTAATGTGTATGTATTAATATATTGGTACATAAACCAATTTGAAAACATATGTATTGTAGAGACATGTCTTGAGTATTTTAAACCCAAGCCTGTTTATTTATATAAAAGAATCTGAGATACATGATTATTTTGAGATTATTTGAGTTTGTTCTGCATGGACATACAGTATTCATGTTATTTAGGCAGGTCTTAAAATGTCTTAAATTTGATTTTAAAAACTCACCAGATACTATACTCACCATGTGTGTATTTATATATATATATATATATATATATATATATATATATATATATATATATATATATATATACTTTGACACAATCTGTATTGTATAAAGTGCTATGTGTATTGTATGAGTGACTTGAAGGTGACTATATAGGCCACTATGAAAGCAACGATAAAACTGATCCAGTATCAGATTTTGATTTAACTTTGGCAAAGTGCAAACTGAGTATACAGCTATTATGCACACCCACCCATAGAGAGAGAGAAAATAAATGTGTGTATATATATATATATATATACTGTATATACAGTATATATATATGTACATACACACACATTTATTTTCTCTCTCTCTATGGGTGGGTGTGCATAATAGCTGTATACTCAGTTTGCACTTTGCCAAAGTTAAATCAAAATCTGATACTGGATCAGTTTTATCGTTGCTTTCATAGTGGCCTATATAGTCACCTTCAAGTCACTCATACAATACACATAGCACTTTATACAATACAGATTGTGTCAAAGCAGCTTAACAGTGTTAAACAGAAAAAAGTGTGCTGATGATGCAAAATAACAATAGAAAACAGTCAGTTTTTCAGTTAAAGTCAGTTCATCGTTGATTCAGTGATGTCATCATCCAGCTCAGTTCAGTTCTCTTCCAATAGTATCTGTGCAATCAAGTCAACAATATTGCCAAAAATTGTGTCCCCAACTAAGCAAGCCAAAGGCGACAGTGGCAGGGAACCAAAACTCCATCGGTGACAGAAATGGAGAAAAACAAAAGCTTGGGAGAAACCAGGCTCAGTTGGGGGGCCAGTTCTCCTCTGGCCAGACAAAACCAGCATGGTGTGGTTTAATTTCAGGCTGCAACACAGATCAGATTGAACAGAGGACTTGTCTGGTTTTCTTGGTCTTGTGCTGATGGCTGTCAACATAGGTTGTAATTTAGACATATTTTTGAGATGAAAATTTTTTATTTTACAAATGCTAGAAACATGATTTTCAAAGGAAAGATTGCTATCAAATAGCACACCTAAGTGATGACGAAGAATTGACAGCACAGCCTTCAAGTGTTAGTGTTCTAGATTATTACATGCAGAGGTTTTTGGTCCAATAATTAACACCTCTGGTTTTTTTCAGAAATTACTTATCATCCAGTTTATATTTTTCAGCTATGCATTCCATTAGTTTTGTGAATTGGTATGTTTCGTCGGGCCATGAAGAAATATAGAAATAAAGTGTCATCAGCACTGTGAAAGCTAACACCATGTTTCCTGATTATATCTCCCAAGGTTGACATGTAAAGCATGAAAAGCAAAGGTCCTAGAACTGAGCCTTGTGGTACTCCATACTGCACTTGTGAATGATATGATGCCTCATCATTCACTGCTACGAATTGATGACGTCAGATAAGAATGATTTGAACCTTGCCAATGCAATTCCACTAATGCCAACATAATTTTGTAGTCTATTCAAAAGAATATCGTGGTCGAGCGCAGTGCTAAAATCCAGTAGCACTAATAGAGAGATACAACTACGATCAGATGATAAGAGCAGGTCATTTGTAACTCTGATGAGAGCAGTCTCTTTACTATGATATGGTCTAAATCCTGACTGTAAATGCTCACAGATACCATTTTTCTCTAAGAACATAGCTGTGAGGAGACTGCCTTTTCTTGTATCTTTGACAGGAAAGGGAGATTTGAGATTGCTCTGTTATTAACTTATTCTCCAGGATCAAGTTGTGGTTTTTTAATGAGAGTCTTAGTAACAGCCAGTTTGAAGGTTTTTGGGACAGATCCTAATGACAATGATATTCAGAAGAGGATCTATGACTTCTGGAAGTACGTCTTAGTGCAACACAATATCCTGTGCTTTGTGCTTTCTAAAATACCAATGTTCACCACGCTGCCCTATAGTGGCCACTAAAAGCATTTAGATACTTTAGTATCTACAGTGTCAACAAAGCAAGTGTAATTTATTTTTAAGGACAGCACAAGCAAACAAAACGTTTTTACACCAAGATGTTTGTTAGATTTAATGTTTTAATGTCAAATATTTTAAATAATAAAACTATAGATAAACTCTTCAAAATAAAGAAAAAATAATATTTGGAAACTTCGAAAGTAAAAATAAAAATGTCTGAATTGTATTGCATAGATATAAAATATTACAGCAAGTGGCATCTGCAACAAATGCTGATCAAGCTTTTCTAAGAAATAACTATTTTCTGAGCCTCTTTTGAATTGCAACATGCTTCATAATATTGATGACACATTAAATCATTGAGCACTACTCAAATGGGTTTGCTGCCCTACATTCATCTGGAAATTATTGTTTTATACTGCACTTTTGTAATCTGGCTCTAGGGGGCAGTAAAAGCATATTGTAGCCCAGCTTCAAGTCCAATACAGTCAAAACCATGCCACTGGGAAAGGGAAAATTATGTTTGGAATAGTGCCTGAACATTTTATAGTTTTATTTTATTTTTATTTTTTTTCTGTATATACTAAACTGTCCGCAGTATGTGGGTGAATCTCAAAAATAGTCCTATTCATATTCCATCCCACAATCAAAAGAAAAAAAACTGCTAACTTGAAGAAAATGAAATCTTTTTAGAGCCATTGAGTTTTTTTTTTTACTCTATTAGATTGTAGACTGTAATACTGTACAATGGATTACCT